GGAATAAGACAAGAAACAGAAATACTAAAATCGCATAGCAAGTATATAACCCATTTGAGCTCACAAATTGTGGCAACCATGCTGCGATACTCAGCTTCTGCAGATGAGCAAGAAACAGTTGTTTGTTTCTTGCTTTTCCAGGATATTAAGGATGATATAAGAAAATTACAATAGCCAGTCAAGGATTTCCTTGTATCATGACATACAACTCAATTTGCATCACAAAAGGCCTGCAATTAAAAGTTATTCTTTGTTAGCAGGAAAAGACCTTTGGAAGGCAAGTTCTCCAAACACTTTAAGACGTGTAGTATTACATTCCAATGAGACTGAGATGAGGTATTAATATACTAGCTAAGCTGTTAAACAACATAAGTAAGGGACTAAGTCCTTAATTGTAAACTTAGTATCCAGAATTACTTTGACAACATTAATCTCCTGCTCACTATTGTGTTAACCGAAACATTGTCAACATATACATCAAAACGTCTTTTAGTGATAGGCTCCCCAAACATCAAGGTGAAGCAGTTAAAAAGGTCTTGTGGAATTGGTTTTGCTAATTAGAAAAGGTAACATGTGTTACTTAGCTAATGGACAAACATCACGAGGAGGAATTAACGAACAATTCTTTTGATTAATGAAATTCAAATATGACATAATTGTGGGTGAAATATGCCCAAGTCTTTAATGCCAAAGTGAGGTAGCTTGCAAAGAACTTTCATTAGAAACTGATTCAATATTGTTATTACATGAAATATGAAAAAAACTTAAATTACTATTTTGGAGTAATAATTTTTTATGATAAGATATCAATTTTGGGTTTAAACTACTAGAATCCAAGATGTAAAGTCTTCCAATCACCTTTCCAACTGCCAAGATTTCTTTATTCTATAGGTCTTGCAGTATGCAATATTTAGGGCAAAAAATAAATTTAATCAGGGATGTATCTGAAAGTTTATTTATTGATAATAGATTATAATGGAGTGCTGGAACATATAACGCCAGTTAAAACAATATTATTTGAAAATTGCACATTGCCTGTATGCTGAACAGTTTTGATTAATCCATCTGGTAAATGAACAAGTGTTATGGCTTTTGTGGGTTCTGGTCGTTTAATGAGTTTCAGATCACAACACATGTGACTTGAAGCTCCTGTATCTACAATCCAACTTTCATGCTCTAATAAACTAAGTATATTAAAAGCAAAGTTGTGAATAATTTTACCTGCAAAGTCACAGAAATGTGCCAGGTTTACCATTGCTCTATCATTAGTGTTCTTCATTTTTAACAATTTGTTCATCTCATGCTGAATTATTTTTAAAATTTTACTGTTAAGCTCCATAGATAATGAACCATCTGGTATTGCCTCTGCACAATTAGTAACTTGTTTAATACCTGATTTTCCTCTAGCCTTCACAAGATCCTTATACCAATTCGATGTACCATAAAGCTTGAAACATATTTTCTTTGTGTGGCCAGTAATTGCAGTGTGCACATCGTAAATGGACTTGTCAATTTTTTCCTGCTCTTGTTTTCCCTTATTAGCATTGTGTGAATCAATAAATTGTTTCTTGTTACCTTGATTACTTGCTAACATTGCTATATTATCAATATTGTCTGTGTAAGCTGTATAAATCTCCCTCTATTTCTCTACTCTGAAAACCATTAAATAAGCTTTATTTACTGTTGGTAGAGGTTCCATAATAAGAATTGGATTCCTTACATTATCATAACCTTCACTCAATCCCATCATAAACTGTATCAGTTTATTAGAACAATTGTAATTTGTCATATGTTTTGCAGCACCACAACTATACTCAGGTAATGGCTGTAAACATTGAAGTTCATCCCACAGTTTCTTAAGTTTTATAAAATACTGAACTACAGTTTAATTTTTCTGAGATATAAAACTTATCTCTAATTGTAATTAGTATAAAAGAGGGTCATTACACTCTTTAAATCTTTTCCCCAATTCCTCCTAAAGTTCCTTAGTTGAAGCAGTATAAAGAAAAATGTGTCTAATATCTTTAGAAATACAATTTAAAATTCATGATTACATCATACAATTAGCTCTAGTCCATTTTTCATAATCGTCAGATCCTAACACTGGTTTCTGATATCTCACATCAATAAACCCCAATTTGACCTTAACACCGAATGTTATTCTCATTACACAACTTTATGCGAAATAATTGTTCTCATTCAAAGGTGAAACAAAAACCATACCTGAATGAGCAGGAAAATGTAGGGAAGCACTTGAATGAATTTATGAGGAGTGAAAACTAAGTAAAAATTCATGCAAAATAAATATGATAAAATCTACCCAAGATACTCAAAAACAATTACACAAAGACACCAAAATTTTTAATGTGAAAAACTCTTTCAATATGAAGGATAAAAACTACGGGACCTCTCCTGATCTAAGTAAAAAGAGCTCCACTATAAAAATTAG